AAATGCACATTTAAAAAAAAAAAGAGTACTTACTGTCTGGTGTTCTACATGTATTATCTCATTTCAGCCTCACAACAGCCGGATACAATTATTATTCCATTTTATAGATGTGAAAAGAGGCTGTCACTTGTCTGAAGTCACAAAGCTGGTAAGTGGTACAGCCGAGACCTGACCCTAGGCAGTCTGATTCCAGAGCCTTGCTTTTAACTATTATGTTAAAAGTTCACCTGAGTATTAAATGAACCAATGAACTTAATGGTGCTTGGCATATTTTGAGCATTTCATATATGGCAATTATTATTTTTTTTTATTTCAGCAAATTATGGGTGTACAGATGTTTAGTTACGTGTGTTGCCCTTGGTTCCCCGCCCCCAAGTCCGTGTTTCAAATATGTCCATCCTTCGGGTCATATATGGCAATTATTAAAAGGAGAGCTGAGTGGAATACAAATCCAAGTCATGACAAATCTGGGGTTAAAGTGGATTATGTAGTATCACCTAGGGCTAAGTCTCAGGCTCAGGCATGCTCACTCTCAGAGAATCCATAAACAGAAATGAAATTCTCAAAGGAGGATACAGGTTCCCTGGAGTATCAGAAATCATTTGTACAGAAGCTACCTTTGGAACAGATCAAGAGAGTACAAAAGCATGGAAGAACTGGAGAAAGTCTCAGCCACATCGTCAGAGGTCCCTTGGAGGGAGCTGCCAAGGTCTGCAGGGTGCTCCTTCACTTGTCAGTGGCTGCCTGGGGTGTAGCCCTGAGACTCCAGGGCTGAGGAAATGGAGGTGAAGAGCAAGGGGAATCATCACCCAGAGCTGCACTTCCCAGACCCAGCATCCTGACTCCCAGCGCAGTCTGTCAAACTGGGAGAGAGCAGAGAGCCTAGAGCTAAACAAGACCCATACCCCTGAAGCATCACTTTTGCAGGATGCTAGTTAAATGCTAGCATCCTTCTTTCATTTCTCCATCACCCCCGACCAATCCTTGGGAAGTCCAGAACCTTGTCTCTTTTGTCCCCACTCCACCTCTACTAAGAATTGTAAATGGTCCAGTGTATGCACGCAAACAACAGAAGCTGAATGAGTTATATAGAACATGGTATGAAGATAAAGATACGTGTATTAGGGAATAGAATGGAAAATTGGCACACATTTTTAAGATCGAACACAGGACTTCAAAGAAACTTCTAAAATCTGCGAGAGGCTTTAAACTCTGTCTCCAGAGACTAGAGTTCCAAGTGCACCCTTTTTAGCTACTGGGGATACTTGGGTGGAAAAGTTTCAAGAGCCCGGAACGCATTACACAATGCAGACTTTCCCTCCTGTCACTTCCTTCTTTACACTCATTTTCATCCCTCCCTGATTATGAGCCTGAACCGAAGGAAAGGCATGGCCCCGCTGGGGAAGGGATCTTGTTTGCCTCAGTTTGCATACAGGCCCAGGTTTACTTCAACTTGGGATCTACAGTGCTGGTTTATTAGCTGTCTGCTGCATACTCTCAGAAGTGTTTTCCCTGGCATTTTTTTTTAACCATTTAAAAAAAATTTTGGTAAAATATACATAACAAAATTTACCATTTTAAGTAAATAGTTTAGCGGCATTAAGTGCATTCACGTTACTGTACAACCATCACCACCATCCATCCATCCATGGAACTCTTTCACGATCCCACACTCATTAAACACTAACTGCCAGTTCCTGCATCACCCAGCCCCTGGAAACCACTGTTCTACCTAATGTCCCTGTGAATTTGACTGTGCTAGGCTCCTCTAATAAATGAAATCATATTTGTCCTTTTATGTTTGGTTTATTTCACTTTGCATAATGTCTTCAAGTTTCATCCATGTAAACAGAATTTTATTCCATTTTAAGGCTGAATAATATTCCATTGTATGGTATATACCACATTTTGTTTGTCCACTGGTGACATCTGGGTTGTTTCTACCTTTTGGCTATTGTGAGTAATGCTACTATAAACACAAGTGTACAAACATCTATTCAAGTCTCTGCTTTTAATTCTTCTGGGCATATACCCAGAAGTGGAATTGCTGGATCATATTATGGTAATTCTGTGTTTACTTTTTTGAGGATTCATCCCTGGTATTTTTTTCTATTTCCAGAGTCAGTTCTTATTTATTGGAACAGTTTATTTTGCCTCTCCAGTATTCTATCCTACATTTATCCTAAACTATCTCTTTTGCTTGTTTCTTCTTTCATTTACTACCAAGGTTATTTAGAAATATGATCTTATGTCTCACAGCACTGATTTTTCCCCAGACACAAATATTAGACTTCACTATTTGGAACAAATTGATATTTCCGAAGTCTTAAGGTGCATTAGTTAAAAGTGTTAAGAATCTATAATTTTTATGGGAAAAAGAGCCATTTTTCAAATCAGTACCAAGATAGCAGTTTGGCATGAATCAGGTGGCATACTGTAATAGAAAAAAGATAGTTCTTGATTTACAAATGTCTCACTTAGGAACATCGCTGACATGCAAACAGTACTGGAAATCAGGAGTCTAATTCCTCCTCCAATACCTGCAAGTCTCTGTCTGCTGCCAAAGAGATGGTGAGGATCTTGGACTTTCAGCTGTTAATGGGGACAAGTAGAACCCTCCTCTCTTCAACTTTCATCCTCCTTCTTCCTTCTTGACACTAGAACTATGGGAGTGACACCCCCATTGTGCTTGCGTGGCATCACAGTGAGAGCTCCTGTTCTCACTGGAAGATTAAATCCCTTCGGAGGCAGAAGAGTTTCAGCTGTAACACTGCATGATTTTGCATACAGAAGCAATGCTCTTTCATGTCCTCTCAACGAGTCCTGTCCATTCCATTTCCTAGCCACCTCAAAGACAATCCTCCTTCCTTACCTCCACTACCTGGGGTCAGAATCTGATCTGGACCACTGCAATGGCCTCTGAACTGGTCTCTCCCATCGTCAGATTTCTGCCTCATCCTTCACACCATCCTTCACACCTCTCACCAGCTCAACGTCATTGTCACCAAAGCCCTGAAATAACAATGTTCAAGGAAGACCTTAACCATTCCACATCTCTGTTGGGTGGAACTGCAGCAGAGCCATGTCTTCTGACTTCTAGTACTTCTAGTCTGGTCTGTACCTTCTCATTGGTTGCCTTTTATGTCTACATGGCTCTTATTGGTTTAGTTAAGATGAGAGAATGAATATGACTGATATCATTCCTATATCAAGGTCAGCAGTGGAGGGGAAGACAGTTAAAGGGATTAAACAGCAAAACCAAAAGCATCCCACCACCCTCTGTCACCCTGGTCAGCACTGGTGTGGTACCCAGTTTCTTCTCTTACTCTTCTCTCTTCTTGAGGATGGTGTTGAAAGTGGAGTTGTCAGAGTACTTCTGTCTCAAACCATCATGCTTCTTTCTTCCTGACCACATTTCCCAGCCACCATCTTCACCACGTGAACCAGAGGACTCTTCAAACCCTCCCCATATCTAAATCTTAGAATGTAATTGAGAAACTGCACTTGACTTTCTAGATGTTTGGAGAAACTTCCTGGTTCTTTCTTTATAATCATGATCTACCACCCTCACCATTCCTCCCTGAAATTTCCCCACCCAAAACAACAACAAAAAACTGTTACGTATATTTCTGTAAGCAGCCTAAAATTCTTTTTCAGAAAAGGAAAAGCTATATATTAATCAAGTTAGAATTCAGATGGCCATTTGTCTCAGTTTGCCTAGGACAGTCCCAATTTATACCTATTGCCTGTGTAATTTTTAAAAGAGCTCCCTCCTTTAGTCTTTTTTTTTAAAAAAATAAAGAGTTCCAGCTTGGAGGATAAATTATATGCTCACCCTGGTGAAAAATACACCTTGATTTTCCAGTAAAGTGTTTTCCAGGTGATGTTATGCTTTTGCCCTCATCATTTCATTTATTTGCATAACTACTCTGCAAAGTAGGAAGGGAAACATCTTATCTACATTAAAGAAAGGAAGTAACCAAGGCTTCAACGGTACAGTGGTGACTAAGGTCACACACTCAAGGTCAGAACCTAGAGTTCCTGACTGTAAGTCCAATACTGTTTCAGGTTTGTGCAAATATCTGAGTTAAGGCAAATTTCACTCTCTTGTTGGTCATCTGCTTGCAACTGGACTTAGAACAGTTTAGACACATTCATCCTTGCCTAGAGACGGTTCTTACATTTAAAGCAAGCAGCGAGCTGAAAGAAGAATTACCTAAACATAAAGAGTCTGTTAGTGAATCTTGGGGCCAAGTAGCATATATCTCTGATTTGACTAGGTCTAATTACATCAGGTTATTTGAATCTTATATCTGGCCAAATCAGGATGTCTCAGTTAACAAGAAAAGAAAACCAAAGATCAATAATGCGTGCCAACTATTACAAAGAACATACAAATGGGTTCTGTCCGTCTTACAGATATATTTTCCCTATGATGACACAGTAATCCTTTTTTTAAAAAACTTCCAAAACTAGCAAAATTATACCCTCCTCGGATAAGTGGCAATGAAACATTAGAGGAAAAAAAAAAAAAACCTGATCATTTAAAGACAGACCCAGTGTGTAAGACCTGCAGGGTGTTCCACAGATGCTGAATGCAGCGCCACACCAGAAATAAATCGACGGCCTGCCCCAAGAGAAGGCCACGGGACCCTCGGGCGCCAGGGCTGGGAACCCAGCGTCCCACCCTGTCTGTGTAATGACAGGGAGAGGTCCAGTGTGCCTTGGGAAGGATGGCTCCAAGCCGCTGGCCCGTCTAGCCTGACCGCAGCAGAGGGATGGACGCCTTCAGGCCGGCTGTGGGCACCACGGCCTGACGAGGGAGGCGGCCGGTCCCCCGCGGGTAGGAGGTTCCGCAAGCACTAGGTAGGAGGACCGCCGAGCTCGAGCGCGGCCCCTGGGGGGGAGGGGGGAGGGCCGCGCGCACGCGCAGGGGCGCCGGCGCCCGCCGGAAGAGCTGGGCAGCTGAGCCGTTGCTGCTGGCGCCAGACGCCGCGCCGGCCGCGGAGAGAGCGCGGGTCGCGAGATGCGGCCCGAGGACAGCGCTGGGGCTGCCGAGCCAGGGGAGCCGGTGTTACTGCTGACCGACGATGCACCCCCGCGCGCGAGCGAGGAGCCGGCGGCCGCCGAGACAGAGGGGGCGCCCGGCCGCGGCAGGTGCTGCCTCTGCCCTTCCTCACCGTGCGGCTCGCGCGCGGAGCCGGGTGAGTGCGCGGGTCTCGCTCCAGGGGCCGGGCGAGCGCCGGCGCGCTGGGGTCCCCGCAGCCGGGGCGCAGTGCCCACCACGCCCTCATCTCCACCCTCCGCTGCGCTCGGGAAAACCCTCGAGCAGTCACCGGGGTTCTGCAAAGCAAAAGTCCCCGGCGCCCCTACGGGCGCCTGGACGGGAGAAAGTTTCTTATCCTGTTTGCAACCCTTTGGGGATTCTAAGCCACTTCTGTTATTAGTGTTGTGGGCAGGACTGTGGAGTCAGATTGCAGTTTGGTGTGCCCTCCCCGAGGTCGTAGGTGGGAGGTCAGCGAGAGAGGGCTGTCCCGCGGTCGGGCCGAGGTTGAGAGGAAGATCAATGAAAACTGGTCTCGGTAGTTTACAGTGCTCTCCGAAGAGGAAGTCGAAAAGCATCGAGTCTAGGAAAATGTTTGTCCCAGAGTCTTAGAAGCTTGGAAAGACAGCGACAAGAGGAACCACTGGTTCTTAACCTTTGGGGGCTACGAGGACTTTGTAGCAGCAGTTGCATACCAAGACATACCTTGTTAAGGGGTTCATGGTCCCGTCCCCAAAGCCAGGGAACCCGCGTGAAGAACCCTTGATCTTGTTCAGCCCCCTCCCTCGACAAGTGAGGAAAGTGAGCCCCAGGAAGGTGAGGGCTTTGCGGGTTTTGTTTGTTTTATTTCCTCCAAGGTCTGGCTTGTGTGGGTGAGCTGGGGCTCAGGTCCACGCAGCACCAGGGTTAGGATTCCAGCTTGCCAGAGACCGGGCTCAAGGGCCCTTTCCACTGGCCACAAGTGCTACTTCAAGCACATTCCTCCTTGAAACCGACCACCCACCTGGAGCAGCTTCCTGAAAGTAGAGGAAAATAGGCAGATCTCCTTTTAAGACAAAGTTACAGTCTATACCCTCATCCTCTGAGCTGCTTCCCCTAAGAGTGACCCTGGATTTCTGTGCTTGTCACCTCACCCCCCTTTTCCCTCCTCCCTGTATGCACTTTCCCCAATTTGGAAAGACAAACCCTAGGAAGATGATTCTTGCTCTATTTCTGTCCTAAATGTAAATAGAAATTATCAGATTTCTTATCATTTATGCATGGGCTAAATGTAAACAGAAATTATCAGATTTATCATTTATGCATGGGCTAGTGCCCTGGAGCAAGTGTTACCCCAAGCTAGATTGACCAGACATGCAGCCTTCGAAGAGATCAGTTTCTCACCTGTCACCCTGTGGCTGAATGTCATTCTGGTGGAATACTGAGCCAGTCCATGCAGACTCTTAAAAATTTCCCTTTTTTGTGAACCAAAGAGGAATACTGTATACTCAGTGCATGGCAAAATGACAAACCTATGTAACTGAGAGCACCTAAGAATCCTGTGGGGTGTTTTAACTTAAAAGAAAGTTGCTAACCATAAGACTTCGTTATTGTAAGTTGATTTTGGCCTAGGCACGGTGGCTCACTCCTGTAATCCTAGCACTCTGGCGGCTGAGGCGGGAGGATTGCTTGAGCTCAGGAGTTGGAGACCAGCCTGAGCTCTACTAAACACAGAAAAATTAGCCAGGCGTTGTGGTGTGTACCTGTAGTCCCAGCTACTCAGGAGGCTGAGGCAGGAGGATCACTTAAGCCTAGGAGTTTGAGGTTGCAGTGAGCTGTGATGACACCACTGCACTCTACCTAGGGCTACAGAGCGAGACTCTGTCTCGAAAAAAAGTAATAATAACAATGTCTTGAAAATAAGATTACCATAAAAACACTGAACTATTGTACTGTTGTCATCGAACTTTGTGACAGTATCATTTTAGCCTCTGTTCTAACTGGTTATCAAAACAAAGCTCATTTTCAAGTTCAGGTTGAAACTGTTACCCATTTTTCTTACATTCGTGGATGACCTTAACCGACACCGTACAGCTATCCTAAGACATGTATTTACTTTATTCAGTGACTGTGGATCTTGGACTGAAGCAGAGACCTTCTCTTAGGCCTGTCCCTCACACACTCCTGAGGAGAGTTAGTGTTCTAGTGTAACCATGGTTTTCAAACCAGTGGAGCTTTTTTAGAGTTACAGAGATTCTGTTTCAGTGGGTCTGAGGTGGGGCTTGGGAATTGAATTTTTAAAAATTACTCAGGTGATTCTAATTCCCAACCACACTGTGAATCGCCAGCTTAAAGCAGAAGATAGAGAAGCTGAGTAATTTTTCAGTTTTTTGTCAAAGTCAGGAAACTACACTTACTTAATTTTAATTATTTAGAGTGGCCAAGTTACTAGATATTCTTACAGTGAGATGTAAACATGGAACATAAGCAAATGCCTCTTTGGATTATGCTCATCTCCATTGATGGAGAGAATTAAAATTATTATCCAGTAAGAGACTGAGGTTTGCCTAAGTAGAACCGTTCTCACCCTCATTAAGAATAATCAGATTCAGCTAGGTCTTCTAACTGCTGCCCTCTCCCATTCCACAAGCATGAGCCTTAAGCCTTTATAAGCAAGAAAATACTTGCGTGTTTTAAGGGAAAAGCTCATCAGGGCCAAGGGTGTAAAATTGCATTTTAAAAGAGTTAAAATCCATCCCGGGAAGTAGGTTAAAAAAAAAAAGTTAAAATATCACACTAAGTTAAAATATTCCTGGAGAAAAATTAAGTTTAGGTTGGAAAAGATACTTAAACATAGACCAGGGAGATGTTTTCTGTCCTTGATCTTCTTGTTCTGTTCTGTCTGAGGGTGGAAGTTTTATACATGGGTTGGTTTTTTTTTTCCCTAAGAAAAACTGTTTTATTTGGACCTGAATTCTAAAATTTCAGAGGCCAAACTCTAAGGCTAACCACAGTCTAGGCATGTATTTTGTGGTGCTTACCATGAAAGTCTTCTAAAACTTCCTTCTCATGGGCTGAGCGAGTATATATATAGTTTTTTTCTGCAGTATCTGAGCACATAGGTACAGAACAGAATGCGGGGGATTCTGGCACTTACGATAGGATAGAATGAAGACTGCTAGCTCCAAAGCGGTCTCATCAGCTGTGCACCTAGGAAGAGGCGGAGACCTCTGATGAGAATGGCTTTTTTGACAGCAAAGGCCAGGCTGTAGAATGTCCCAGGCTGTGCATAGTCATACTTTTGCAGTGATTTGCAGTCACTTGCGGGCAAAGGTGTCTAACTGACAGGAGGATGCCGAAATATATTACCAGGTATTTACATTTATCAGAGAAGGGCATTTAAAAAAAACATTATTATGCAATACTTTTTTATAGCTGAGTAACACACTAGGACTCCCCAGATTGGAATGATAATTCTAGTTTTCCTATAAATTGCTCGTGTCCACATACCCTTCAGTTATGCTGTGCTCTTGACTGATGAGGACCAGTTGCATTTCCTTCTTTCCTCTCCTTTTTTGTATGTTAGTTTCCAAAAAGAAAAAAAGTACATACATATATATATATTCCTCAGTGTGTGGCCTATCTTTAAGGGAGTTCTCTGCCTACCCTGGCCAGCTTTGCTCTCTGAAGAATGACAGGGGAATAAGATTGAAAGCAGGATCTGTTCCTATCTAGGAAACTAAGGCATAGGAAGTGACTAAACAAAAGTTTAAAGCTCATGCAGGTTGTCATTAATGGATTGAATACTTGATGCCCTGGAGAAAGCACAGTTTCCTGGTTCAGATCAAGCCAAGAATTAGGGATTAGATGGCAGCTCTGTGCAAAGCACTTTAGAGCTGGAGAGGTAGACGACTTGGCCCCTGCTCTCAAGGAGTTGGTGCCCTAAATGGGAAGATAAATTGTGAACCATGAAAATTTAAAATATAGATTTGATTAACAGTTCAAAATAACAAAACGGAAAGCCTTCCCAGATTATGCTGTTGCCAGTAGTGTTAGGCTTTTGAGTCTTTCCATGAAGCTCTCATATTCTTTCATTCATTGAATATTTATTTAGGGTCTTCCATATGCCAGGCATGAACAAGAACAGCTGAGGAGTCAGCCCTGGGGACTTGTGGAGGAAGTCAGATAATCAACAAATAACTACATAAGACAGTTATAACCTGTTTTCCAGAAAAGAACACTTTCTTCACTTTCGCCAGTGAGATAGTATAAGATATTATCATTTGGGAGTATTTTTCACTTGCCATCTCAACAAGTGTTTCTTAAAGATTTCTGTCTCTTAAAGATTTGCTGTCTTGGCAAGCTTTCTACTTCTTCTGGACTCGTAAGTAAGGGATGATTCTTCAGTGAACCAAAGGAAATCCATTTTATAGGGCAAAACAGCATTTAAAAAATGCAGGTTTAAATTGTTGCCCTTGACGATGGTTCTTTGTAATTCATGGGGAAAATGGTACCAGTCCAGAGCAGGGATATGCTTAGGAGGTAATACTTATAGTCTGTTAGCCTTTGACACTGTTCCATTTTTCTCAATTTCTAAGTGAAAATGATAAAACGTATGCTTGGAAGCAAGGACTAACCAGAATTTAATCTTTTTCAGAAGCCAAGAAGAAAGCACCCTGTCCTGGACTTGGCTTGCTTTACACATTATTGTCTACCTTCTTTTTCTCATTGACCTCTTTATTTGTTAAAAAAGTGCAAGACGTCCATGCTGTAGAGATTAGTGCGTTTCGATGTGTGTTCCAAATGCTAGTTATTATCCCTTGCTTAATTTACAGAAAGTAAGTATTTCTTAACTGCAAAGTAGAAGATATTAATAAATGTGTGTAAATCTTTTGACCTGCCTAAATCATTCACTCTGCAGTATCTACTTTATCTCATAGATTTACCAGTTCCTATACCCCTTGGCTCTGGTCAATGAAAAGTCCAAAAGTTCATCGACAGAAGATTCTACCATAAGCACAAACCACATGCCCAAAAAAGGAGGAGAAAGAGATTTAGTTATTTACCGCCCCTTATTTTGAACACAGAGCTTTCTTTGTATAATTTCCCCCATCTTGTATCACCCTCCTTTCTTTCCTTTGGCATAACTAGTATTTGGAAGAAAAAAAGTAAATGAAAAGTAGTAGTGTCTCTTGGCATCAGAGGTTTCTTTAAGTAGAACAGGCTATTCTCTTACCAGAGCAAACTGAAGGTTACAGTAATAATATTTAGGTCTAACCCCAGAACATGATAGGGTAACCTTGATCAAGGCCTTTTTTAACTACTGTCATATTCAGTTTCCTTATCTGTAAGTGGAAAGGAATGATACTTTCTGTCCTCTACCCTGCATGATGGTTGCCAGGGTCAAATGACATTTATCATAGGGCAGAGTGCTTTATGTAGAACGTAACAATGTATGAAAACGATCTCTATTCTCTTGTCGCCATTCTCTCTCCACCCAGTTCCTCTTTTCCTTCCCTATGCAACCCTCCACCTTCCCCAGGCTAAAATTATGTCTCCCTCTACCATTATAACCTCCACACACGCCAGTGTACTTAGAACCCTGGCAGGGAGACCAGTTGGGTCCCTGTAGCATCCTGGTTCTTTCTCTCTTTGGGCAAAGAAGCTTAAATCCCAAATTAAAAGCTTTAGTTACTTGCCACCAAAGTCTCCTTGTATCTCATAACATGGCATAGATTCTCTTAGAATAGTTTCATTCGATATCCTGAGGATTTGGTAGAAAAAGTAAAAATCTGCTAAGATTAATATTGTCAGAAATTCCTGTGTAAGTGTGGACAAATCACAGTATTTTAGGAAATGATGGTAAGATTTTAGAAGTTTCTAAGGGTGGCAACAAAACACTGATGCCAACATAATCCATAATCATCTCCCCTATTTTGGTAAAAAAGATACTGTCAGAGGAAGGACACTAGAAAAATTTTCTTCAAATCCTTGGTCCTAATCTGTTTTGACCCATTTTATGTTTCACTATCATAGAAGACTCCTAGTTTCTCAAAGTATGGGCCAAATGTGACCACACTTTTCATTTCTAACTCCAGGGGTGTCCATGTCAGGCCTAGACGATACCCTAATGAAGTCCGGCCCTGGCACAGATCAGCGGGTTGCACCTAGCCAGGAACTTACACAGAGTAGGTGCTTAGTTAAATATTTAATTGAAAATTTTGAGTAGCAGTAATTATACTTTTCTAAACACTACATGTTCTTTTTCAGTGTGTTTTAACTTCTTCCTCATGAGAATAATGAAAAGTAGTCTCACATTTAATGGCTAAAACAAATTTTAGCATTGTTTCAACTTTTACAGAAAAACTCATGAGATTGCGAATGCACATTGGCCAGGACCAAGTTTCCTTGTACAGGACAGCTAAATCTTGAAATTGTATTTTTTGTAAAAATGATACATTTTCATCATAGAAAATTTGGACAAAATAAATATAAAGAAGGAAAATTACCTGTGAATTTACCTATTAAGGTATAACCATTAACATTTAGTTTATTTTCCTTTTTGTCTTTTTTGCAAGCATAAATATACATATACATGGGGAAAATAATTTAATTGTATTATAATTATTCTATTTATATAGTTCTCTTGTAATAGTTTTGCTTTTACTATGAACACTTTAATGTCATTAGCTATACTTAGAAACTTTTTTAAAAGGTATATAATATTCAGTTGTAGATACTATAATTTTCTATTCTTTTTTTGGCATTTAGTACTTTTAAAATAATGTTTAATTAATAGTTGTAATTTAAAAACAAATACCAGTTTCATTTAATATGCATTTCTTCGTTTGAATTTACAGAACTGGGTTTATTGGCCCAAAAGATCAACGAATTTTCCTCATTCTCAGAGGAGTCGTTGGTTCTACCGCCATGATCCTTATATACTATGCTTTCCAGAGAATGCCCCTCGCTGATGCCACAGTTATCACGTTTAGCAGTCCAGTATTTACGTCCATATTTGCTTGGATATTTCTCAAGGAAAAATGTAGCCCTTGGGATGCTCTTTTCATCGTGTTCTCAATGACCGGAGTGATCCTTATCGTGAAACCACCATTTCTATTTGGTTCCAGCTCTTCAGGGACAGAAGAAAGCTATTCAGTCCATCTTAAGGGAACATTCGCAGCAATTGGACATGCCGTATTTTCCGGACTCACTCTAGTTATCCTAAGAAAACTGGGAAAATCTGTGGACTACTTTTTGAGCATTTGGTATTATGTAATAATTGGCCTCCTTGAAAGCATCATCGTCCTCTTTATATTGGGAGAGTGGAGTCTGCCTTACTGTGGGTTGGACAGGCTATATCTCATACTAATTGGTGGATTCGGTTTGGGGGGTCAGGTATTTCTCACAAAGGGACTTCAAATAGAAAAAGCAGGGCCAGTAGCAATAATGAGGACAATGGATGTAGTCTTTGCTTTTACCTTCCAGATTATTATCTTTAATGATGTGCCATCGTGGTGGACGGTGGGTGGTGCTATCTGCCTAGTAGCCAGTAGTACTGGAGCAGCCATTCATAGATGGTACCAGAGTTCCAAATGAAGCATCATTGCTGCAATACATATTTTTTTCAAGTACACCTTCACCCAATTCAGACACACTACACATGCATACACACCTGGGAAATCTGCATTTACTTTGATTATATGGAATAAATTTCATAAAGTGCCATTTTTGAATATGATATGTCTTTAATTAGCTAAGAATAGCTAGTCTGTTTGGTCTAGCAATTTTTGGGGGTAGCTTTTGTTTTGATTTGTTTCTTGTTAGGATGGCATTGGTGAGAGGAGAGCACAATGTTGGAAGAAAAACCAAAAATTTTTATGACTCCAGTAATTTTTTAAATGTCTTTTTGGTACCGGTGGGATATGGGTGGGGAGGAAATTTTAGATATACTTTTAATATCGTAAAGCCTAAGAATCTTATTGATAATGCTGCTATAATTAGTATTATGTTGCTAATTCATTTGCAACATAATTCCATTTAGGAGGCCAAAGCTGAAACTTGGGATAGGTGCCTACTTAATGCTGTTAATAATACAGAAGAATTGGCCTTATTTTCAAGGATTTTATAAATGATTATCATACTTTTAACTCATATTCGTGCCTTTTCATTTTAATGCTGGAATTTTTATTATATAACCTCTAAAAAAAAGTTTTTAAATCGCCAAATTTGGCTAGTAATTTTGTGTTTCAGTGGTATTAGCAACTGTAGTTATCATTCTATAATTTTAATTGTCCCCTTTTTTTTGAACCTGCACTAATGTTATTTTTTCTTAACATTCCAAGATTTCAGATCTTTGAATCACAAGGAGAAATCTTGGCATGACCAGTGTGCGCATTTCTTCACTAGAAATGTGATTTTCTATAAATTCTCTTTGAATTTATAGTGCGATGCCAAATAAAATTTCCTCAGGATCTTATTAGGTTGAACCATATGAAGTTGCCAAGGTTTTACCATTTTAATTTACAAAAACCATAGTTTCATATGGTTCACCCTAATAGATACCTCCCTTACCCTCTAAATCAGATACTTAGAGGACTTTGGACTATGTTTTAAAAATAATTTTTAAAGTACAAGACTGCTATTAAAATTTTTATTGTTATGAAATTATATGTAATAATGCTTGGTGTTATACATTAAATGTAAAGACCTGTGAATCCATGTTTGATTGACTTTCATAGTTTCTTATAGGAAAAAAGTCACTGTTAAATTCTGGTATATCAGCATGATGTTAAATGTCAGTGCTGCACCATGATACTAACATCATGAATTCAAACAACACATTTTATATCTGGAGCTTCATCAGGCCAACACTCTGCAGATAGAGAGAATTTAATATCTAGGAAAGCTTGGGAGGTTAGTCGGGACTTAGGGAGTACATGCAAATGGTTCTTTGTCACAAAGACCCTTTACTGGTGAGGCTGTGATGGCCTCCAACTCTCTTACTGTGTCAGACACAGTATCTGTTATTATCTTAAGCCTGCAGAGTTGAAAGGTTCTAGGCTCTTCACCACGTCATCACAATTTTTCCAAAGCAAAGAGGAACTTGACATTTGTGATTTCTGCCATGGTGAGAAAGAATCTTTTCCAGTAGTTCCAAGGGGGCAGTTTTGGCTTGCTGATTTTATCAAATGCTTTCCACCTGACAAATCCTAAATGAAGTCTATTTAGGTGAGTCATCTCTGTCATGATTTAACCTAATTTACGATAATGGAATTTAGACTTGCAAAAGCATCATTCTGCATGTATCTTAGATAATTATAGAATCAGAGCATTTTCAAATTCAAAAGTATTTTAGAAATTGTGTTGTAGGAGCCATACTCCCTAGGTAGGGTTGATAGGAGACCTGCCTGAGTTGGATTTCCATGGCCGTCTTCCCTCTCTTAGTTCCATGATAAAGTATGGACAGTAAACCACTACTTGAGCTACCTAAGGTGAATTAACTCTCAGGGAGCCCTCTCCCAATTCTTTACCTTGCACAATGAAAGAACATTTGGGACCTTGAAAGTTAAATCCCTTTGGGCCTATACACTAAACACACATTTAATTCCGTGGCTGAAATACTTGAATGTCACGATATATGACTGAGGTTGGAGAAAATGTTTCTTCTTTCAACTCTTACAGGATATGATTCTTAAACACTTGTGATGTCCAAGGTGCATACAAGGATATGTTTTGTAACAATTATGGGTGTGTATATTTTGCAAAGATTGTAGTTTCTATATCTCGAAAAGTAAAATATTTTCATAAATCCTTTTTATTTTATAAGTACTAATAAAATAATATGAAAGAAAGTTATATGCTGGTTTTTATGATTATAACAAATGTCTTATCTATAATATAATTTATTTCCCTTTCAACCGTGTGTTTCAGAATTTATTTTCTGTAGGAGACTGACCTCCAGCCATTCAGCTGCGATGTAATCTCAAGGTTTAAACTGTTTATCTGTTCCTATTATACTGTCACATCAAATCAAACCTCTCCAAAGTAAAAGCACTAATCTGTTCCAGGGAGGCGTTCATTCTTCTAGCCTCTCAGAGCTTAGAGCAGCTTTGAACTCTGTACTTTTTGTTCCCATAGCTAATCTGTCACTAAATCCTGGAGTGTCTGTCTTACTGTCTGTGGATTCATTCTAAGACCACCTCACACATGTATTACCACAACAGTATCTTTGTGGAGTTAACCTGCTTCTAGACTCACTCGTTCACTCTGATTTTTGTCTCAGTGCCAGATTAATCTTCCCAAAGCTCTGCTCTCATTGCTACTCGGGTTTTCATAAAACTGCAGTGATGCCTGTTACACACCACATCGCATCGAGATTATCCATCTGGCCCTGTTCCTACTTCTCCCGCCTGATTCCCACATCCCAAAACAAATTTGATACTCAGATCAGTCTTCTCTCTAACTCCCACAGTTGCCAACAGAGTCCTTCCTCTGTTTCCCTTGCCATCCCCTTATTTGCCCCCTAAGACCTGTTGGCCGCCAATGGCTCAGCTTTAGCTTTTGTTTTTTTCCAGTCTCCAGCTTCTCCCACCCACACAATCCACGTTGGAAGAGTGGATGAAGCATTGGATTAGGAGCCTGAAGATCTAGTGTGGCTTTATCACTTTCCAGCTGGGCAAGTTACTTAATGTACTAGAGCCTATTTTTCTCATTTGTTAAATAGAATCATATTACTTGCGTAATCCATCTCACAGGTGAGTGTCATAGACCATGAGGAAGGATAAAAGCATTACCTATTGAACCGTGGTCAATACTGTAGAATTGAGTATTCACTCTCCTCAAAACAATGCCTACCAGGGTCCTTACTCCTGAGCAGCCTCGCCAGGAACGGCAGGAACACATCTTTCAGAATGTAAACTCCATTTGGCCCCCTCCTGCTAGCACAGAATTCTCTTGTTGGACAGCTTCCATTTCTTGGCTGATCTTAAGTAGGGCTGCCAAGGGTCACCAGTCCCTTTCTCTTATGCACAGCTGTTGCCAGTTTCCAGTTCTGCCTCTAGCTCTGGTCTTACGTGGGTGTTACACTTGGCTCTGACTTAGGGAATAGACCTGATTCCCTGTGTGTTTCCCATGCACTATTCTCTATGCTCGGCATGATTCTTCTAGTCTCTTATCTGTTCCCCCCATAAGCATAATTAGTCTTCTTGAGGGTATTCTAGTGGGAGGAGAGCCAGATGTCCTTGATGACACCTTGACCTCTGATCTGGGTTTTTATGACTCTAGGTCGGTAGTGGTCATTAGAATTTGGTTATTAGGGTATAGGCTGGACATATGAAGCCTGGATACTACCCCAAGCACACTTTTCTGTGGTCCATTTGGTGCCTTACATCAAATCTAACACAGCTATCATATTCACCTAGAATGCTGCAAGATGCTTCATCGGGGATGCTCTTATCCACAGAGACGAATCCAAGGTTTAGCCTATTTAAACACTAAGTTTGGAGCTGGACTTGGAGAACCAATTCATAGCCCATGAACTTGGCACTGCCCATCATCGCCTGGAAATTGGGAGGTGGGGCTTTATAGCAGGAGGGTAAGAAGCAGACGTACCTGGCATCAAGGTGGGGCAGGAAATGCACCACAAAAGCCCAGTATACAGGCAAAGGGTCCACTGGGTTCAGGAATTAATCACCACTAGGGCAAAGAGCTGGGGTTTTTCTACTAAACTTTCGTGACTGTAGAAACCATCTGTGACTACTATCAGCAAGCCTAACCGTCAAGGAAAAAAGTAACCCAAATTTGTGATTAGTTGCCAGGGTGTGGTCAGGAAAACACGAAACCACATTTGAGTCTCCACTCTCACTGCTTCACTTGACCAGCCTTACAAAACAAAACAAACAAACAAAAAACACATTTGAGCAGAAGTAGACTTGGGCTGGAGAAAATATGTTCAGGTGAATAGCACAGCATCAAGGTACCACGCCATGGTCAAGAACACCATGGTGCAGCAGATGTAGGCTGAAGGGCCAAGCCCAGAGGGGTGCACTGCTGGCCAGGAGGCCTGTACCTGAGGATATAAATACCTGGTCATTCTTACAGGTGTTCCAAATATAGTTGACCATGATTTGAAGATTAAGTTCTATGTGCCAAAAACATACCAGAGAGATAGAAACTAATAATGTAACCATATTTGGGTTAGCAGGTGTTAGCATGTTAACATTAGAATTGAATTCAAAGCAATAGCCTAATTCAGAATGGACTAACCGTTTCTCTCTTGTGCTACTCTCCCTTGGAACTTAGCCACGTTGCTTTGCGGAAGCCTGGGCCACATGGAGAGGCCCACGTGGAGAGGAACTGAGGTCCCCAGCCCTGGGCCCCATCTGCACTCCCAGCTGACAGCCACATGAGTATTCACGCTGGGAATGGATCCTCCAAGCCTCAGGTGAGCTGCCCCAGCCGATGCTGTATGGGGCAGAAGCAAGCCTTCCCCCCCACATCCTGAGCTCTGCTCAAATTGTAGATTTGTGAGAAAAACGAAACAATGTTGTTTTTAAGCCACTAAAAAATAAATAAAAATATCAAAGATATAACTGTCTTGAACATGTATGTAGCAAATTACACATGATCACAATTACATAAAGTGAAACACTTCAAAAATTACAAAAATCAGCAAAAAGTAGTACATTTTCAAGGGCTTCTCTCTGCCTGTGACAGATAAAGTTGGCAAAAATTAAATGTACAGGGGATAAAAATTAAAAATATAGTAAGGTTGATCTAAACCAACTATTCTCAAAGTGTGGTTTAGAGACCTCTAGGAGTCCTAAGACCATTTCAGGTATTCCCAACCTCAAAACTATTTTAATAATAATACGGAAAATGTCATTAGATT